CATATTTATAAAACTCAGTGCCTCTGTGAAAGGTAAGGATGACTACTGTGTTTGTGGTGCAATCAGAACATTGCATGTTGTTTTAACGTAAACCAAAGATGCCTTTTAAAAAACAAGTTTACATTATATTCTTCTGCATGCCAGTGCTGTGTGTGAGGTAATTTAAGGTGGTTCCGACAAGTGTCGTCAGCATCTTCATATCCGGTCACATGGGCGGCAAGCCACTCCCACAAAGGAGGCCACACCCACAGAGCAGGTTCGAACAATTTTGGAAACCCACCACTGCTCTGGAGGCTTTCTTTGAGCCTCTGGGAGGGTGAAAACTACATCCTCCGGGCTCTGGAGGCCCTCCAGAGGCTGGAAACAGGCCTGTTTCTGGATTTCCAGAACTTCCAGTAGATCCGTTCCCCCCCCCTCCCGAGCCACCGCGTGGGCCTTGCACTTATCTAGCATGATGAACAGGCCATGTGGAGACTTCTGGGAGGGGAGGGGCAGGGTGGGAGGGGTGGGGTGGGTGTTGCCAGCCAGGGGTGGCATTTGAGGGTTCGCCAAACTGGGCAGAATCCTAGGTAGATGATCGCCTAAACCCATGCGAACCCCCAGCAGCCCACCCCTGCTCACAACTGATTGTGCAAGGTGCTTTGAAAAAAGATATTTTTAAAGTGGGGGGGGGGGAAACACCTATTTGGAATAGCAGCTTTTAAAACACTGTAAAATAGAAATGATAAATATGTACAGGTAGTCCTCGATCTATGACAGTTTGTTTTGTGACCATTCAAAGTTACAATTGCACTGAATAAAATGACTTATGACCATTTTTCACACTTATGGCTGCATACAGCATCCCCTTGCTCATGTGATCAAAATTCAGACCCTTGGCAACCGACACATATTTATGATGATTACAGTGTCCTGGAGTCATGTGATCACCTTTTGCAACCTTCTGACAAGCAAAGTCAATGAGGAAGCCTGATTCATTTAACAACTGTGTCGCTAATGTGACAACTGCCGTGATTCACTTAACAACTGTTAAAAAGTCATTAGATGAGGCAAAATTCACTTAACAAGTATCTCACGTAGGAATAGAAATTTTGGGCTCAATTATGGTCATAGGTCAAGGACTACCGCATGTGCGATTCAATATCAGTTTATCCGTCCTCCCTATCTTGTCTCATGCTTCAAACAAGTTTTCAATATCTTTAAAACCTTATGTGAATGTTTATTTATATTAATATTTTACTCAAAAATAATTTTTATCTGGAAATTACTTTCCAAGTTAAAAAAAATGGAGGGGTTGTGTTGAGCGTGCATACTTTGAATAATTAGTGCCTGCAAAGATAATGGAAACTGTCTTCGTGATTAGGATGTGTCTAGGGCAGCCACTGGCTGGTTCCATTTGCATGATATATTTAAATACATAATTTAAAAGATGATGAATTGAAAAACGCGGTCCTTTCTGAGCCAAGGACTAAGTTCTATGTCTCTCCCACGTGAGCAGGATTCGTTGTAGGGTTATTTATATTCCATCCTGTTTTACTCCATTATTGAGGAGTCAATAATTCAATGTCCATTAAGCTCCAACTTCCTCACTGCATTTTTGAAGATAGGCAGGTGGAGAGAAAGAGATAAGAACATAACTTGCTGTAAGCATTTCTTTTTCCTTCCCATAACTCTCCTTACCACTAACTCCCAAAATATCTATTGGAATGAACAGAAGATAGAAAAGAGATAAGACTGACTCCATATACCATCAGCCCATGGTGACTGCATACCAACATACACAAGCATGCATGCATGAAGGAAATGACAATGGTTCCATCACAACAAAGATGGCTGTTTGTAATATGATCAGGGCAGCCATCTTACTCCAGGACTGTCCAGCACCAATTAATTACCTGTAGATTGAGCTAGACGGAGCTTGCTGTGTAGTGCAAGAAGAGCCCCTGTATTTACACAACACACAGAATCATCATGAATTCAATCTACTGTCTGGTTCCATGCAACACCTTGAGCCAGAAACTATCTATCTTAGCCTGACACAATTTGCGAACCCAGCAGGAATGGCTCCTAGAAGCAGTCTGAAGAGAACAAAGAGACCAGAGTTCAAAAAAATCCAGAGGAGGCTGAAGATCTCAAGAGGTTGTTGTAGGAAAGAGTGAAATCAGTCGCTTGTGATGGCAAACCCAACAAGTCAGCTGCTTTTAGTCCTCCCTGTTGCTTTGACTGATGAGTGTTTTATTTTGATTGCAGGAGAACAGCGTGGAGTTTGAAGCTTGCCTGGTCGCCCAGTGTGATGCCCTTATTGATGCTCTCAACAGACGGAAAGCCCAGCTGTTGTCACGGGTCAACAAAGAACATGAGCACAAACTGAAGGTAAGTCTGGCGGTAATGAAATTTAAGCAATGAACTGTTCTCGGGTGGAAGAGGTTGGTGAACATGGCTAGAAAAATGCCTCTGTGTCCATGTAAGGTGCCAGGTATGTCAAGCCAGGCACCGTGAGATACTGTTGCAGTTTATGGGTGAATAAATCAGCTAGCCCTATTGAAAATGGCCAAAATATGCTGCTATATGTACTGGCTCAGTAGGAAACCTGACCAAAAAACCCCCTCTTTTCCAATAGGATTGCTTTCTTCATTTCCTGTTCCTTGCATAAACATTTCCTTTTCTGCAGACATTTTATCCTCATGAAGAAAAATCTATCCGCTGATTGCTAAGAGTCTACACTCACTTGAAGGCACAAAATCAATCGATCAATCAGTCATTCAGACAGCATTTTGGAACTCATACATAATGCTAAGCCATGCTATATTTATTGGTAACAAAACCCAATTAGATGGTTTGCACAATACACTAAATCAAAGCCAAATAAATATCTGTGATGTCTTAGAGCAGCCACAGACTAAGTTCAGAGTTCACTGTAGTTCAAACTAGTCAATCATAGCTCATGGGCTGGATTTATAGTTATCTTCCATAGTCAGAACATTGTGTTATTGAACAAATGTTGATTCAATTAATTATTAGCAAGCACATTGTATCCTAAGTGTTCAAATAGGAATATTTGCTGTTAGATGAAGAATACTTTCTGTGTGTGTCTCTGTGTGTGTGTATGTACACTTGCAGTATTCTTCATCATTCCAATTTGTACACCTAGGACTTTCCTAAATTCATATGCAGTGTATATATTTGGAACAACTCCAAATCCATTAAAAGAAAAGTGCCTTCTGCATCAGGAATCTATGTAATGTTACTACATTTTTTTAAAGAAATGCACCTTTTTTTGAGGCTTGTTTAACAAACAGCAGAAAGATGCTGCGTTCATCTTGTGCAATCCAAAGGCTTTTTCCAAATCCTCTCTGAAGCGTGCAAGGCTGTATTGATTTCCTCTTATTCCTTGGTTTAATGCTTTAGTTAGAGTGCTTTGGTCCAGCTCCTTTCTGCCTCCCAAGTACCTCTGAATCCACCAGGGAAAAAAAAATCAGGATCCTTATAGCTATGCAGCACTCAGACTAATGCAGGAGCCGAAATGAATTAGCAGGAGTCCGTGTGAGGGAGGGCCTGAATATTTGCCATGGCAGCTGTTGCCATAGAGACCTCCTAGGATGAAGGGAGGGAGGGATGACACTGTAGCCACTAAGGACCAGCAACAGATAAACCCAGAGGAGAAAATCTGAAAGGGAAAGGCAACAGGTTGGCCACAATGTACATTTGCTGTGAAAACGTTATGATGACCCTCTTTGAGGGAAAGGTTTGTGGCTGACTGAGGGAACTGATGGAAAGAGGATTGCTTGTGGAGAAACAAGGATTTGTGAGATGTTTAATGGCAGATTGGAAGACAAATAGGACAATCCTAGAGAGTTTCTCTGCATTGAGTCAGTGGTATTATAGGTTTTCACCCTGGCATTCAAAAAAGCATGGGGGTCTTTTCCAGCCAGTTGGCCCAGATGTCTTTTGTTGAACAGGGGAAAAAATTAACCAAGAGATTTCTAGGTCTCCTTGCTTTGCATGCAGAGACATTTCACTCACAGTATTTAGAATTCCTTAAATGGATTCCAGTAATTTTTAGTTATTTGAACACTATTGGCTTTTATAGAGCAGAAGTACAGAATAATAGAGTTGGAAGGGACCTTGGAGGTCTTCTAGTCCAACCCCCTGATCAAGGAGGAGATCCTATACCATTTCAGACAAATGACTGTCCAAATGAGTTGCCCATGTTCTTAAGTAGTATATATGGGAAGGGTTAAGGTTAGGGTTGTCTGGATTCATAGAAAGCATTAAATCATGGTTTATAGGTTATAGATTCTGAGTTCCCACAACATGCTAAGCCAACATGGCTTGGATATGATTATTCTACACTATCATGCTCATATTTATAAAACTCAGTGCCTCTGTGAAAGGTAAGGATGACTACTGCATTTNGGTTCGCACCTATTCGGGAGAACCGGTTGTGAACTTTCTAAGCAGTTTGGAGAACCGGTTGTTGGAAATCTCATTTTGTGTTTTTTTCCCCACTTTGCAGGGATAATCCTGTAAGGAAGGCAGGAAGGAAACATTCTGGTGTTGTTTCTAGCCTAATCTTTATTGTCCTCCTTACAGAAACTGCCTCTCTGATTAACCTTTATTACACTGTAGCAGCTAAGGTGAAGCGCCCATCGACCTGAGTGACATTGAGTTGGTCATGCCCACCCAGTCACATGACCACCAAACCAAGCCTAACCAACTGGTCATTAGGACAGAGAAACGGTTGTTAAATTATTTAAATCCCATCACTGGTGTGAATGCTTAGTTTTATTTGGCCCCTGAGGACAGAAAGCACATGAGAAATTATACAAAGCCCCAGAGGAAGAAGAGAGGCTAGAAGTAATCCGTATAGCCATATATGACTGCACAAGAGGAGCAAGGAAGAACAATTGACCTCATACGTTTGGTGACAACATTGTACAAATGACACAAATTATATAATGTATGCCACGACTCCCATTCCAGAATTCATGCCACCTGCATGATAATGCCAGGTCACATATGACCTCAGCACAACTTCTACTGGCCACTAAAATAACATTTTTGGGGTATCTTCTGGGTTGGGAGGAGAGATGCGGCTATGTAGACCAAAAGGTCTCCTTGCTGCCATCTAGTTGCCACTTAGATTTTTGCAGCTCATACATAAAGGTAAAGGTTCCCCTCTCACTTACCTGCTAGTCATTCCTGACTCTAGGGGGCTGTGCTGATCTCCGTTTCAAAGCCGAAGAGCCAGTGTTGTCCGAAGACCTCTCCGTGGTCATGTGGCTGGCATGACTCAGTGCTGAAGTCACACAGAATGCTGTTACCTTCCCACCAAAGGTGATTCCTATTTTTCTACTTGCATTTTTTACGTGCTTTCAAACTGCTAAACTGGCAGAATCTGGGTCAAATAACTGGAGCTCACTCCGTTACGCGGCGCTAGGGATTCGAACCGCCAAACTGCTGACCTTTCTAATCGACAAACTTAGTGTCTTAGCCACCGAGCCACTGCTTCACCCAAGCTCAGATATAGGAGTTCCTAAATTTCAAGCCTTGCTTTTTAGGAAAATACATGTCTATAACAGTGTTCTCACAACCCGAATAACATGTTGTTGAAGGAGAATACATCAGTAATGACCAGGTTTGTGTTGGAACTTTGAGGCCTTTAATGTCCTTCCAATTGTGCAAAGACTGTCATTTTCTAGCTCACTATCCCCTTTTCCCCCTGAGTTGGAATTGAAAAGAATTATGGAAAAAATGACAGTAGCATTATGAGGGATGGCATCATTGCACAGTTTCAAGACAATCACTCCCACCTTCCCCCTATTTGGCTCATTTCTCAGGTTTGAAGACCAAATCAGCTATAAAGGCAGAATTCCTAGAGAGGTTCTAATTTTTACAGGGCAAGCCTAGGGTTTTGTCTCAATCTCAGCAGAATTAAAAGTGACTGAACCCCAAGTCAGCCATTGACACAGCACAGTTGACTGGGGGAAATTTAACTAAATATTACAAAAGATTGAATCTCCTTGGGACAAAATATAATCCCCAAGGGCCAGCTGATAGGGTCAATTAGCTCCTTTTTCATTTTTCCTTGACATATTAAACCTGACCATTAAATGGGTTGTGGGAAGCGAGCCTAAAACAGCTTCAGATTTTCTCCCAGACAGGAAATAATCATGAAGCAATGCCAATAAAGAAGGAACTGGGTTGGCACAGAAACCTTCTGGCATATTTTCTCTTCTTCTCCAAATCCCTCTTCTCAATCTGCACTGCTATAGACATTATAATTCTGCTGCTGACGCCAGTAACAACAACAGAAGAAAAGTTTTATGGGGCCTTGGTCACTGCCCAAGTAAAGTTTATTCAATATTTATGTATTGTGTTTCTTTCTAATATTTCCATGACATCTCTCAGCCTTGAACCACCCAAGGCAACGATGCGGCAATTAAAATTCACACTGAAGAAAACACAATTCAAAATAACCCCAATGCCCTGGTGTAATGCTGCAAAGACTAGCTCAGCAACAAGGAAAGATTCTTAAAACAGTGAGCCAAGTAATAGAGAACAGTCTTTAAAAAGTAAATACATCCAGTCTGTTGTTGCAGAGCTGGCAGCAGATTTGGACAGTGAGGAGGTTGGGGAGGAACATGGGCCAGTCCTGGAGTCTGGGGAAGGCTCTGATGAGGGCTCTGCGTCGGAGGCAGAGAGGGGGCCAGAGTTGTATGCCAGAGTTGTATGCCAGTTATCAGCTGCCTTTAGAGTCAGACAGCAGTGAGGCAGATGAACAGCTGAAGCCTGTTCCCAACGTGCGCATGCACAGAGTTGCCAGACAAAGGGAACAGCTAAGGAACAAGGGTCGACTTAGGAGTAAA